AGATTTTGTAGGGACTATTCGAATAAATCGAAACGATGTGCCACAGTGGATGAAAGATGAAAAATTACAAAACGGGGAAGTATTTTCACAGCATATTGTTCCGATTGTTATATTGAAACGGCAAGATAGGAAGACTGTGACAATGCTATCAATATATCACAATAATTTTACAGAAGGGAAAACAAAAAATCAAACCAAAAATCCTCCACAGTTATATGATCGAATGGAAACTTATTGATCATTTCCGATTCCGCGCAATGTTGATCGAAAGTCTACTAGTGATTCACAGCAGTAAAATAAGAAATATCAATTTCTAAATACACATGACTTGCAGAAGATGCTGATGTTAGACCATGAAGGGACGCTAAAACATACGATTTATAAAGGCAGGATCAATAACAAAAATATACATATATCGCGGTGTATGAAGTGGCTGCTCGGCGGTCCGTGCAGCCATTGGGAGCAGCTCAAGAGGTCGAACAGTGCAAAGATGTCGTCCCTGTAGGGTTATTTAAAGGACCAAAAAACACTTTCTAGTTACGTTCAATAGATTTATTGCTATATCGTGTGTACAAAACATTAAGTTATACAAACTGGTAGTTAGGTAAATGTGGTGGAATTCACTACAAACGTACATATCAAAATCAAAAGTAAGCTTTTGTAACGCTAAGATCAGTCTGGTTGATCCCTGACTTTGTACTGTTTAATGTTAATTTATAAACTCAACAGTTTGTACGTAACGATGAAGTGGCACCACTGTCTTCTCTCTTTAGAGAAGGCATTTATTTGTCATAAATAATCCAGCAATTCTTCATTGTCACCTTTTCTTAGAGCCGAAGTCTGAGAAGCCCATTATTGCCGCCATTTCGTCTGAAGGCCCATGATTATCATCATTAACTTCATCGATTTTTCTCTTTTTGTCTTTCCTCTTTTCTTTCCTATATTCCTTGATCTTCTCTTCCTGTGACCATGAGAAATGATGCTATTAAAATATGTACTTTTAACAATACATTTATAGAATCATGATAAAAAGAAAACAAACTTCTTCTTTCAACTCTTTCACTCTTTGTTCTAAATCATAATCCTTCTTCTTTTCTTCTAACTTCTTTTTATTCATTGCAAAACGGGCTTTAACTTGATCTAATGTAGAACGTTCTATTTTCATTGACATGCCCAAATTACGTTGATCTAAAAGGATATCAAATTATTAGTAATATTGCTATATTGTATTATAAATAGTGATAAATGGGAGATGAATGTAATGTATTACGTTTTGTTCCATTGATGTGGTCCAAGAAATTAATTGAGTCCTTCACAACACAATCGCATACATTGCAATAATACCCTCCAGTTTGAGAAGATGGTGTATTCTTGTTAATAACAACACTTTTTCCTAATTTAGACTCAAGATCAACTTTGTAATCTCTCTGTTTCAACAATTCTCTTTTCACAGCTGGTTGTTTTGGAATTCCCAACTCCTCTTCAGCGATCTCATCCTGGAGACGCTGAAGAGCTATCCTTTCGTACTCTTCCCTGTTCCATTTTCGCCT